AACTGCAATTTCATGATTTTAGATATAAAAACCTCCTCATCGTACATTCTTCCCAATATAGACAGCTAAAAGAATTTTTTTCAAACATGTTTTCACTTCATTTTCGTTATAAAAGAATATAAAAATATTTCACCAAAAGCCTTTTCACACGAACCCACGAGTATCTTGTATTCCGTTTATAATTATATATGCATGACCATTTATAAATGTCATTGAAGGTCGAATTTGTTTTAGGTGGGAGTTCGACCCGAGTTTGATTTTTTCTTTAGTATTTTCTCAACACTTTTTAAAGACTTTGATTAGAATACAAGTATATGATTCTAAAATAATGAATGATTTTTTACTTTATTACACCGCCAAAACTCAAAAAGATGTTCTTCACAAATCACAACTATGAGAGAGATTTGGCTTTTTCTCTTTTCTTTAAGGGAAAACAACAGCTCCAACTACACTCAATTCTTTTCTTTTGCATTTAAATAACAAAATTATAAACAAAAGTTAAAAAATGGAAAGAGATTAGGGCCCAATTTTTTTTAATTATTATTATTAAAAAAATAATAGATCCATTTGGGAAGCTATCATTTCTATCTCTCACATCATGAAATTTGTGGGTTCCTACAAATTTTTCAAAAGCATTTTCAAACTTCATCCATTGGAGATGGTGATGTAGTGGAAAAAGTTGGTAAAAGATTACAACTTTTAGGGTTTATGAGTGTAATTTTGGGCAAAGCAAAAGCTATTAAACAAAGTAAAAAGAAAAAAAAATGTCCCATTGTGGTCATTTTTCCTTCCATTAATTACTTTAAATATCAATAAAACATCTCTATAATGCATATTATGAGATACTCTTAAATTCTATTAAAATAAAACAAAAAAAGAGCTTTTATATGTGTCATACGATGTCCTAAAAATCTATAAAATAGAATTTTGGTCGCATTCCTAAACAAATTTAAGACAAATGGCCTTCGAATTTCCTCTTAAAATGTTTACCCTTCTTTGTTTACACATCAAGAGAAAAACTTGATCTAATTCAGATAATTTCTTTTCCGTTGGGTTCATTACCTATTTATAAAACTCAATCATAGAACACATTATGGGATAATCGGGATCCGGTTGGATTCACTCTTTATCCCCCTCTTAATAACTACATTATTCTTCCATTTAATTTGTATATAATTAAGTGTTAAAATTATGTGGAGTCCTCAAATTTAATAGTATAGTTTATAATAGTAATGTTGTATTAGTTAGTCGTGAAGAGAATAGAAAGACACGTATATCTTAAATAATATATAGATAATACATACAAAAATATACAAGTAACAAATTATATTACAACTTTCAATATTATCGTTGCAAAGGGTGTGTTAAAGTTTAACCGTATCAAGATAAATATTTGATTGACATTGAACTCTGCCAATTAAAATACGAGTTTGAAATGTTCTATTTATGAACAAAAGTGAAGACAGGAATTTGGAAATTGACCAAAAATGTGTGAAATTTTGGTGAGTTTGGATAAGGATTTTGGGGTCAAACAAAAGGAGGATTACTTCAGAGATTTGATATAAAGTCAGAAAATCAAATAATGAGAAATTGAGAATCAAAATTCTCAATTTAACACTTTTTATAGCAAAGAGATTGCAGAAAGTTGATGTAATGCCAATCATGAAAAATCTCCATAGCCTTGAGATTCTACAAAACGCGTTAAATAATGCCCCACCCATCAACTAAATCATGGCAAATTTTTGCAAAAAAGAAATCTTTTTTACCCTTAAAAACTTTAAATAGTTACTAAATTTAAGGTTTAAATACTCATTTTATGACAAAGCAGAGCATATATCAACCGTAATTAGCATATATGTTTTACTATTTGTCGGTTTTGATCTATTATTGGTTATATTTTGTCATTTTCATCACTTTTCTTTAGTATAACAAGTGGGTTAGAGAAATTTAAATTCATGATCTCTTAATCATAGATGGGTGCCAATAAAGTTAAGCACATATTCACTCCATTTCCACCGCTTGATTTGAAGTGTTTCATGAATTAAATTTTGTATGGTTTTATTAATCGGTTGATCACTGAGTAATTTTCTAATTTATTTTTTAGAAAGATATTAATTTACTTATTTAAATTCAAAGTTCAATTAAACCGAATTGAAAGTTTAAACTTAAAATTGATTCCCCGATCCAAAAATAGGGGTAAAAAATAATTTCCCCTTACTTTTATACATTTGATTATATTATTTTAAAATGTTGATCTCATTTAGGTTAAATTATAATCAYAGTTTCCCTTTTATATTACTTTAAATGAACTTTCCTTTCGTTCCATTCACTTTTATTTAACTAGTTCAACATATATCTTTACTAAAAGGTTAGGGTTAGGTTCAAATTTTCACCCAACATATTGTTGAACTCTAAAACAAAATAAAAAAATGATTTGCCGTGTTACACCATTTATACAAAGACAAAAATGTAGAAATAAAATACAGGGAATATATTTTTAAACTTTTTGAATAATTCTAAAATTAGTTTTTTCTTTTTCTTTAATATAACAAGTTCGGGTGTAGAATCAAACTCAGGATCTCTCGATCGAAAATAAGTACCTCGACTCATTTGGCTATAAAACTAGGTTAGATAGGTACAAATTCTTAATTAAAAAATAAACTCTAAACTAAGACAAAAGGAAAGATGGAGAATCCATAGACRTTAAAACATATTGGGCTGGCCGAGTTAATTAATTTTAGATCCAAATCCAAGCTTTTTTAATTGATTTTGGGAAAAATTTTGCCCATGTGGTCTATGGGTCAAGTAAAAGAAATATTTGGAAAAAAAAATTTCACCTTTGTCAAAATTTTAAAATTTAGATTTACAAGTTTATTGAATTTTTACGTTTAGTGAGTTGCATTCAAACATTGGTGGTTGTTTCTTCAGCAAATGCCCAATATATATTTTCATACCAATATCAAACTTCTTACTTTTTTGTAGTAAACTAATTGAAATCAGGTTACTAATTATTACATTACAACAAATATACCTCATAGATTTCTTATTTTTGTTTTGAGAGTTTTTGTTGTTTTTTACATTACAGCAAATCGTCAAGAGATAGATAAATAGATACATCCCATTGCAATAATCAGGGGTGTTTGTAGTGACTGAGGGGGTCGACGACTAAGAAGTGAGTTATTTATTAGCTAAATATTCTTCTCAAGGCTAGATCCAATCTTCTGGTCCTTGCGGAAAAAAGGAAAAAGAATTTCACATTCTTGCTTTCGCTTTTGGGAAGGGAGAATTAAGAAAATCCTATTGATTGCAGCTTTCTCCAAACCTCCGGGAAAAGCATGAAAGAAAAAAGGCTTGAATGGTACGATCCCTCCGTCCCCTTTGATTTACCTATCTCAATAAAGTGTATGGTTGGTTCAAAGGATTTCACTTGGAAAATAAAATGTTCCATACTAATGGATTCGGTTCCATAACCATGAGTTCCAATGTACGGGATCTTATAACACTAATGAGACCCAACAGACCATTTTAGGGTTTTAGGGATAGATGGACTTGAACCACGATTTGGAACAGTTCTAAAAAAGGTATGTAAACATATCTATATACAACAAAATATAACATATGGGTTAAATATTCAATGTAACACAACAAATCTTTGATGTATGACTTAAGACTAAAATTATATTTATATAAAAAAAAGACTAAAATTATACCCCCAAATCAAATGCTAAAAAATAATTTCTTGATTTGATTCAAATTGGAGATTTTCATATTTCAATGAGATATTAGGATACCAAAATCACAAATGGTTAAGATTACAAGACTTGTGCTCATTAAAAAAAATGATTACAAGACCATAATTTCTAAATTTAAAGAAATTCCTAAATTTGATATTTTTTTAATTCAAAATACTTTAAAATAATAAATCTAATATGATTTAAGAATTCTTAAACTCGATTTAAAAAAAAATCTTTAACTATTAAATATTAAAAATATCAAATCTGTTGTAAATTTAAATAGCAAATTTTCTTAAAAGAGAAATATATCAAATCAAAACAAAATTTTAAATAGTCAATTTAAAATCTATTGTAATATCTATTTAAAATTTATATTGAAATGAACACAATTAAAGTTGAAAAATTGGCAAAATGGGCAACGCAAAAGTTGGCAAGAGCCAAAATGGCTAAATTTAAAATAAAATTCGAATTCTGGTTTTTTTAAAACCAGACGTTTAGAATTCATAATTTCCCTAATTTTTTAAGCTAAATATAAAAAAATGGTCTATGATATTTATGACATTTAAGGGTATGTTTTACAAGCTCAAGGTTTGTGAATTTATAATTTATAAAGTTAGTATACAATATAAAAAGGTAAATTTTATAAGTTTGGATTCATGCAACTAGTAGAAATAACAAACCCACAGCTTAGAGGATTTTTTAAAATTAAAATTTTATATTTTAATAATATTTATAAGGATATTACATTTTTTTAATAATATAGTAATTTTCACAATGCATCAATCGTARAACACGAATTCTAGGGCAAAAATGAATYCGTGTTAAAATTACATTGACCAACATCAAGACGAGGAAAAATTCCACACCAGGTAAGAAAGACAAGCTTAGCATATTTCTCCAAATGTATGAACCAAAAATCTTTATGATCCTCCCATAGATGGTCCTCTCCAATCTCCAGTTTTCCCTCGTGGAGAAAGAGAAGAACACCTTATTTAAAGGTAAGGCCAGAAGGCAAAAATCATATCGTGAAAAGACTAGACAAAACCCCCAAATTCTATCTACCCTCGACATTAGCCATTGATACTTAAAGGTTTTACTTTATTCTAATAAAATTACCCCATAGTTCACATTTACAATGATCCATGTAACGCCAAAGCGAGCATAGCTCAGCGATAATTGACATACAYCTCAAGTTAAGAAGTTGTGAGTTCGAATCCCCTCCCTAACATRTTATACTAAAAAAAATAAAAATAATACAATGATCCATGTAACAACATATTCTTTCAAAAAGAATAATAATAATAAAATCATGAGAGCTCTATTTGCACACACAGTCACTCTCTTCAGTCAAATTTTTCTAAACAATCAGCCTTTGTCTTCAAGGTCAATGTTCTAAGGACATTTTGCAGTTTGCTCATAATTCCAAGTTTCTGAATCCAGAAAGAACAGATAACTGGAACAAAATTTGGCATCCATATCATTCTAGCTTAATATGCCTCAGTACAAAACCTCGGTTCGTCTCGCTGTAACCACAGTTTGGATTTTAAACCGACATATTGAAGGAGGGGAGTACAGATAAACTCGATTTTATTACGCCACTAAAAATATAATTACAAAATGTATATACAGATCAAAGAAAAAATAATAATAATAATAGAACTGTCTTACATCTCAGATAAGAGATTGCTGATTTTCCGAAGCTCCTTGAGGGCTGCCATGGCTGTTACTTGTCCTTTGCCAACTAAAGGATTCTTAGACAAGTTCTCCAACGATCCTACTTGACCCCGTTCTTGCTGGAAGACGGTTTCGATTACCTGTCAACCAAATTGTCAGCTATTGTGAAAGAATGGATCACAGATGAGTGCYAACTATTTTTCAGAAATGAAAATGATAGTCGGTTCAAGTAATGAGAATTGTTCATAGTCTGGTTGTAGCATCCACTTCCATGAAATTTTCTACTTTTAGCAGAGCCACTAAAACCGTGCAGAAGTAACTCTAGAGTAAGACTCTCACAATCGACCTAAATAACTGCCAAATGCCAAATCAATACTGTTCCTTAAAAAACATGAAAAATATTTTTTTCAAAATTTACCTAGTGTTTGGTTCAATAATCAAAAGTGATTCTAAAAATTCGAAAAAGCTAAACAAAAATACTAAAATTCTTCTTGGAGAAGCACTTGACTAGAATTTACATGGAGTTTCAGAAGGGATTATTTTCCATCTATTAGAAGCTTCCACCTGCTGGAAGTTGCCTACATCAACCCTAGAACTTGAAGTAACAAACTTTAGAAATATTACCTGAACGTGTTCGAGCATAGAGTGACCCAGATTCTTGAGAGTCCCCATCACATTCTGGTCCACACCGTCTCCTTTGCTGCTGACAGAAATACTACRAGGCCCATCAATTTTAGGCGAAGCAATATTTTTTGTCGGATTACTTTCGATTCCAGTCGATTTAGAAGTCTCAGTGCCACCTTTCCCCTCACTAGCAACATTTCGGCCAAACTTCCAAAACCACTGAAATTTTCCTAGTAACTTCCTATCCTTTGTCCCTACTGTTGCATTGCCCTCGGAATCATTATTGCACCCAGATTTTTCAGGGATATTCTCAAGCTGTTCAGGAACCGAAAAAGGCAGATCTTCCACGATGGAATGGGTCCGATCATCATTTTCATCCAGGGACAAATTTGATGCAACACTACTTCTGCCCGAGACATTTAAGTCATTCTCATTATCATTTACTCCACTGAAGGAACTTGTTGGGTCTGAGAATATTGAAGAGTTTTCACTGCCAGCGATTCCACTCTCACATCTCTTGTCTACAGCATTTTCCAAGCACTTCTCGCAGCTATCTTGTCCATCCACCTCCCCTTCGACAGAGAGATCATCTTTGTTATCCACCACTTCTTCATTCCCACATTTTTCAATGTCTTCCGCTGCCCCGAGTTCTCGACTTAAATCTGCCAGCAACCTTCGCCTAACAGAGGATTTAGTGTTCTTTTTGCCACCAGCAAGCTTTGCCGGAGATGGATCAGATTCCGTCCTATACAAGAATCTCACTTTCTCCGACCATCCTTTCTTTTGGGCAGCATTCTGATTTTTTGAGCCACTTTGTTTAAATTCTTCTTCCCTGTGTAAAACTCTCCACTTCTCCTCCCAGTAGCTTTCAGGAACAAGACTTAATGGAGTTTTAGGTGAAACAGAACCAGATGAAAGGCCATTACTCCGTGCAACCATAGACTTGCTGTGATGGTGATAAGCTCCAGACAATGACGGTGAAGACGAGATATTAGATTGTAGTGCTAGAGTCTGCAAAGATTTTGCCTTCTCTATCAGTTTTTTCAAATCCACATTCTTGGGAAAGTTTAACAATCTCTGGAGACATAAAGTTGCATTTTCCGTAGCAAGTAAAGATGATCGCAGATAAAGTAACATAGAAACAGCAATAGCAGCAATAAATGCACCACGAGATGAACTAAGGAAGCCAGAGCTGGAGCTTGTCTCAGGTTCATCACTTCGGTAAAATTTACCATTATCTGATGCAAATATTTCATCCCAAATTGTTAAAAGATCTTCAAGCGAAAATTCACGACCAAATAAAACCCTTAACCAGCGGAGAGAGAAGTACTGCGGTTCTACACCCAGTTCAACGAGGTGAGCATGTAGGGATAAATCTACATGTGATAGCAAGTGGTATAAAGCAGCAGAAGCTTCAATTACAGGAGGCAATCCCGAAAGGGAACTGCCTGCAGGTGTTGGAGAGAAAAAGTCTCCCATTGAAACTGACCCATGGGCTCCACTCATCAAAGCATCAAACATAGCATACGCATCATGTTCTATAAATCTCTCAGAGAGGACAATGCCCAGTTCCCCTTCAGCTCCATATGCATCAGTCAACAATATAATGGTTTGTATTTCAGGATCTAGCTCAGAAAGACTTTTCACATTTTCCTCATTTCCATGAACTCCAACCTCATCTTCAGTTGCATCTAGACGGTTTTTTAAATCAAAATTAGATTTGAAACTATTATCTTGAAATGAAAGGCCATCAAAGTTGTCGGCAAATTGGTCTTCATATAGCTTTCTCACTTGAGAAAGCCTCTCCACATCAACATGAAGAACATACAATAAAGGAGCCAAGAGTTCGTGCATTCCTACAATATAGAACAGGGGAATGTAGCTTAGAAGTATAATGGAATGACAATAAGTTAATCAATTTTTTTTTACTTCCTTTCAGGGCAGGGAGGAGGGGAAGTTAAGGAAATTTTGCATGCTGCAGATCGAGTGGCAATAGACATTTTTTATCAAAAACTTTCGACACGTGAAGCTTCAATGGCTGAGAATAGTAAAGAATACACGAGCTACCCAATCAAAGAAGACAGGATTTAATTAGATACCCTGAAAATGGATTCAGTAGACATCTCAAACTTTGAATACTGAGATTCACTTACATTTTATCCTCTTCATTTATATTTCTTTTTTTCTTTTCCATATTTGTGGTATAGTTGTTGGAGAACATGTGAAACCAAACAAAAATTTGGGTTAATGCCAGGTGATAAGTTGGCATCTAACCATAACAAAGATTAGGTTCTTATCAGAAATTGCTACTGGGAATTAAAAAATAAGGACAGTAGCCAATTATGCGACAGTTTCTCCATGGTACTTTGCCTTGCACTTGAATGAGGTCTCACTATAAATGAAAGGCATTCAGACACAAGGTTATAAAATAGCCCTTGCTAACATAGAGAATGGCAAACAATGTTCAATATATCGTTTGAATTATTCTTGCTTTCAATAAGTATGGAAAATAGTGAATTATATTTCACAGCCAAAAAAGGAATGTTGTAATTGTTAATTTTTTTGAAAACGAAAAATCCTACCAGTGCTATTGTATTTCAATAGCCGTGGCTCTTCAACATTTCTTTAGTTTTTTAAAGAAAGAAAGATTATCGGAAAAGGATAACTGGAATGAGGGCAATTCAAGACCTTTGGGTTTCTTCTCTCGGTGATTCCTATAGATACCATCGAAGATTATTTTATGTTGATCCTCTCCCAATATTATTATGAATTTAGTCATTGGTGTGAGAACTAGAAAACAGATTGCACCTGTACTCTGAAATTCAATTAATAAAGCATTAAACAGGATTTACTTTTATTCTTTTCATTGTAAATTGCTGAAATTACCTTGCCTATAGCCAAACTGGGGATGTTGAAGGCACCATAACAATAAAATTCTCCTGAGCAAGCCTTGACATCCTGGTGTCTGGAAGTAGCTTCCATGCTCCGGATATAAACGTGACAAATCCTGGTCAACCATTTTCTCCAGCTCAGCACTCCGGAAGAAGCGGCCCCACATGCTATCTGCAGTACAGAAGGATGACAATTAGAAGCAAAGATTAATACTCATATCGCACTTGAATGAACTCATCCAACAATTTAATGTCAAAGGAACAACAATTCCAGGTACCCATTYTGCACTTGAGCTAGAAAGCAACGAGAAAAATAGAAAGGAATAAAACAAAAAAAAAATCTTTCACAAGTAATACCTAAGGCATTAACATTTTAAACCCTTCCAAACTAGATTGGAAATAGAAGAGGATGTGTAATTTAACCTGGGTTTTGTGATAGTGGATTATCAATTGCAATATCAGGAGAATTACTTCCATCCTTGGAAATGTGTGGATCAACAAGAAGGCGTCTTCTCAAGATAGCATATCTGAAAGAAATAAAGGAAAAGGTTAAGTTCTGATGRCTAAAATTCGGATTTAAAAATTTGAGAAGAAAAAAGAATTTAGAATTACTCATATTATATTATTAAAAWATATATATATATATCATCATTGTTGATATACAGTCGTTTTTACATCATTACAATCTACAACAAAGTTTCAGAAAGAAACTCCAGAATTTGAGACTGGAGACGTTACGCTTAAAAGGGAAACCTAAATTACAGCCACCGACTACGCCATATTGACGTATCCCACAAAGTGAAACTTAAATAAGCTATGAGACTAACCATTGATGTTCTATTTGGAACTATAAATTCAACTTTGCAAAAGAAATATTATTGGGAATCGGAAAATCGAAACAAAAAAATCAGTGAAAATTAAGGCAGGCTAGCACTGGTATCATCTCAGAAAATGTCGAATAGTACATGAAAAGTTACAAATCAAATAGGAATATTCACCCAGAACAATAGCCATCATAAAAATCTTAACCAGGGGATATCAAATATTTAACAAACCACTGAAATGTAAGCTCTCGATTACAGAATCGCCAAACCCGAGGGAAAAAGAATTATAAGCAGATTCAGTAAATGGAAAAGGAATTTGAGGAAAATCATTTTAACAATTCGTAAAATTAAGTCACATTAACTCACGCCAGTAATATAAATTCGAAAAACTGACCTTCTTCGAGAATCAGCCGTTACGCGACGAAGATCATCAATAGAAGCTAAGGAAGAAGAGGGCAAAACCCCAAGATTTATGCGCCACCGTACACCTCTAAGATCAACAAAGCGCCGCTTATCCTCAGAATTCCCATGGCAAACCGAGCCCGAGCTCGAGGACGTCGCCGATGCCGGTTCGGACAATGCCGCCACGATTTCAGAAGATGCCATGGTGATTACGAATCAACTTTCTCCTGCCCAATCCTCCGCGTTCTGAAACTAGAGAGAACCCCGAAATGTCAACGAAATCCCACAAAACCACTCACAATTAAGAGGATGGGCGAATCGTAAAAGATACGGAGATCAAGGAAAATTCAAAAACAGAGAGAGAGAGGGAGCCAAAAAATAAATAAATAACTCCAAAGATCCAGAAGAAAAAAACAGGGCAAAATTGTAGCGAAACACAGAGAAAAAAGGGGGAATTAGAAGAAAGAATTGCACGAAAGAAACGCAAAATCAAAACAAAAAATGAGAGAGAGAGACTTACGTCTAGGCCTGGGGATGAAATTGGACGAAATTGCGGCAAATGATTTGAGTGCTTATCCAGAATGAGAACACCATCTTCAGGATTCAGAAGAAAAAATTCTGTGATTATTAAAAAAAAAAAAAAGTGAAGAAGAATTTTGTATGTTTGGCAGGCGAGAAAGAGAGAGGGAGAGAGAAGAAGGGAAGAGAGAGAGAGAGGGGAATTTTGTAGGAGTGGCGCTCATTCGGCTCAGCTGAGCTGTCCTTCTCTCTCCTCGTAATTTTAGAGAATTTATTTTTCATATTACTAAAATAATTACATTAATCCAAATTATCTATTTTCATAATTCATTAGAAATATTTCAGGAGACCAAACTTAGATCCTAATAAATATTAGTTCCAAATTCTTTCATAAATACCTATTCAATATTAGATGTTACAACAGCATCCAGTATCATATCTCAACAATTAATTTAAATATAAATTTAATCAATTAATGGACTTTTAGATGTAATCTTGTGTATTTAATCCATACGCTACAAAATTTCAAATCGTACTCCTAATATAGTATTTGTTGTTAAAATTGTTAATTTGAGTTAATGTTGTTTGACAAACAAACAACTTCTCGTTTACTTATTAGAAATTGAAACGAAATTTGTGAGAATAGATTGTTGTTGTGATGTAGTTTACTAGAAATTAACTAAAATCAAAATCAAGGTTTACTAGTCCTAGAAATAAGAATCCAATGTCTGATAATTACTAGAAAATTTTTTCATATTTCTAGTCAATTAATGATTTTTAGATTTACAATGGATCCGGCCAATCTAATATAGTATTTCTCATTCCGCTATTTTGGTCGCCACTAAATAAACATAGTCTAGTTGGATAGATTAGCATTAATTCAAACCACAAGAGTGGAGGATTGAGTCGCAATAATGAATGTTTTATCTATTAAGTCTATGCTTAAATTGATCCAATTAATTTTTTTTTCTTTTTCTGAGCATGATAGGTACGACGAGAGATTTGTAATCATGACCCCTCGATTAGATATAGGTGATAATTATCGATGAGTTAAGCTCGTATTGACCCGCTGAAATTGATTTAGGATAAATGGATGGATTTGATACTATTAAGGTGGAGGGATATAATAGGAAAGAAATATGGTGGCTGAGGGTAATAATGGAAGAGAGAGACCAAAGAAGAAAACATATACTATTACTATTGTGATCAAAGACATATTGCTATTGCTATTGTGATTTTGTACCAAAAGCATATTCTATTTTAGTGGCTCTCCCATTTTCTTCAAAACATAGAATTTAGACTTAAATTTCCTAAAACATTTTCACTTCCAAGTATACACGTTTATATTTTTTATCAAAAGGTCGGGAGTCGGTATTTACACCTCCATATACTAATGAATTAAAAAACAGTTTCTATTGTTATGTTTGATAATTTTATAATACTGTAATATAAATGATGAGAGAAAATTCGAATCTACGACTTTTAAAGAAATATGTAAATGAACTATACTATTAAATTCGACAACAATGAATAGTTGAATGAACATTTTATTGTTCGTTTTACGAAGTTAATGAAGTTGGCATAAAATTAATATTATTTATTGTTTCTAATTTTAAAATTTTAAATAAATATTAGACTTATTTTCTTGTCATTTCACTTTTATATATATTTATAAAATTAATATCTCCAATGTTACCAAATGTTGATAGTTTTTAGCATGTTTTTTTTTAAATGCGTGACTTTGTTTTAAATATCATATCACAAATCAAAATGTCAATATTGAGTTCATCCAAAGATATATTCTAGAGATTTAACTAAATTACAAAAATCAAATTTTCAGTTTTTTTTCTAGTACATCAAATTTTCAATTTTAAAAGTTAGAAGGACCAAATTGAAATCCCAACCCAAAATATTTTAGGTAAAATAGTAAATTAATCACAAATTAATTGAAAAAAAAAAAGAAAAAAGAAAAAAAGATCCGTTGGCGTCGGTCAACGTGTTTTTTATTGAAGACGGAAATTTCGAAGCACATCTCATTGCTGACGTGGCAGAGACGTGGCTTGCCCTCCAAGTCATTATTCACTCTTCTGAACGAATTGACCTTAACAAAAAATGCATCTTTTTCACGTGATTTTTTTTCTTTTCTAATTAATTTTGTTTGCCCCAAATTATTAAATTAAGAAACAACTACAAGTTATATCATGGTTTTAAATTTAAATTTTATTTTTCATTCTAGACCTAACTTTTAAAAACAAGGTTTCGTGATGTTATTTTAGTTACTATATTTTAAAATTTTGTTTATTTTAATCAATATTCTTTCAAAAAGTCTATTCTTTTATCTTATATTTAAAAAAAATGATATTTTTTGTCTATTTATTTTCATTTTCATTTCATTTATTTCGATCCTAATTTTAACATGACACTTGAAGTGTAACTCTAATTTTGTGTTAAAATTATGCAAATAAGGTCAAAATTAGTTACTTTTTAGAAGTACATTGAGACACGCTTTGAAGTATAAGAACTACAATTAAAAAAAAAATTGAAAGTATATAGACCAAAATAAATGTTTTAAAGGTACATTTACTAAAATATTGTTTAAACTGAAAAAAATTATTTTATTCATTACTATTATTTCGATGTCAATTTTTTTGCCCCTACTCAACACCTACTTGAATTAGCTCACGTAGCTTCATTGCAATTAAATCCTACAGTTATAATTTCGGATAGCAGTTGAATTTAACTACAGTAGTTTGGTAAGTTTGGGCAATATMGTTGTTAATTTTAACCACCATTTAAATTCAAAACTGTAATCATAACAATTTTTTTTAATTCATCGATCAAAACTAACAAAGTTATAACTTATAACAACCTAGAATATTTGCAATTATAACAAACTCCATATTTTAAATGTAGTTTTCTTAGTTTTTAATTGAGGTAATTATTTTTTAAATTAAAATCCCTGACCCAATTGAATATTTGCATGGTCAAAGAAGTTGCCAAGAAAATATAAATAATAGCAAATTTCCGGTATTTAAATTAACAGCTGTTTTTTTTTTTGGGGGGGATTTCTTATTGCGTTTACGCCAAATTTTTGTTATGTCGTTTAGTTATTAAATTCTAATTTTGTTGCTTTTTAGTCTTATGATTATCCTTATTTTTTCAAGAAAAATGTGTCCTGATAATTTTATTTTAAGATATTTTATTTTATATTAGAGAGGGGAAAAGTCTACCATGTTGATAAAAAAATTAAAATTACTAACAAATTAATAAAGGCAGCAAAAATGATTTGGTAATATTCAATAATTATTGAATTTTACTTGATAATTATAYGTTTCCATTGAACAAAGTTCAGTTATTATTTAATTCAATCTTATTCATAGTTACTATTTTTGCAATTGTTGTATTAAAACTTGTGCTTCATTATTATAATTTCCTCTATTTCTTTGACGAAGATACCATTTAATTTAAGTTTTTATCTAAGAAGGACTTGTTAGCAATAGTTTTTTTTTATCAGGACTTTAAATTGTTATTCCTACCGGTAGTTAAAAGGTCAATATCAATAAAAATGTTTTAGAAAAAAAACTTCTAAAAAAATCAAGAAAATTAGGATCACTTGTAAACATAATTTGCGAATTAATAAAAAAAAACAAGATTTTTGTATTATTAGTCTATTATTGTCATTATCTGTACGAACATAGTTCAATTAGCAAAGTTATATCATTGACCAAAATGTCAAAAGTTCAAATTTTCAAAAAAAAAAAAACATATATTATCAATGTATTTTGTCAGAATAAAATTTGGCTGTTGGTAACTTGGTATTTACATTCATAATATTGATATTTCTTTTTTTCTTTTTCACCTATAATCATTTGTCGTTATTTTCATAACATATATATCTCTTTTTTTTTTCAAAACACTACAAATATTAATATTTTAACCATTAAGTCGTGCTTACAGATGGTGAAGAAGAGTAAAAGGGGGCAATTTTCTCCTTTTAATTCGTTTTATATTAAAGAAATTTATATAAAAATTAAGATTTTAAAATTTCTGTGATCCCACTCTTCAACTTTTAGAATTGAAAGATGATGTATATAAAAAACCAGAGAGAAAATTTTGCTATTCTCTATAAAAGTTATGTCCAAAAACAATTCTTATACTATTAATGTAACTCATTTTAATTTAGAAATATTAATGAAGGTGAGCTCAAAATTTTATTTTATTATTATTTTTTAATGTTATGGTTTGGAGTAAATCATTTGATTGGTGTACCAATCCCAATGAATAAATTTAATTTTCTTTTCAAAAAATAAAAAAATACAATTAATTTTTGTTGAGTTTGTGACAAAGATCACTCCCTCCACAAGACCAAACCGACATTATCCTTTGCTTATTAATGAATGTTCTTCTTTTTCTTGTTAAACTTGAATTCATGGTCTATTTTTAAGGGGAAAAAAACACTAGCACTTTTTTAATCAAATTATTACTTCTCAATATTTAACTTTAAAATTTTAAATTTTTAACTCTACATTGTGAAATATTCATTAGTATATATATCTTTTTCTTTTCTCTTTTTAGTGAGTAAGATCCTTTTGAAAGTCATTTTTACAATTATATACATGGGCTAAATATACGTTTTAACCCCTCAAGGTTTGGGTATTTTTTTCACTTTAAACTTTTATGTTTTAACTGTTTTCAATCTTAGTGAATTATTAACAAAAATTAAAAAGGGAAATTAGGTCACCTTAGAAAAAAGAAAATTTATGGTTCCATCTTTCAAAATTCTCTTTCATTTTTAGGTGTCCTAATTCTTCTTCTAGGTATATAATGTCATTTAATAAATAATCGTCAATTTATATCAATACTCATCCATGACAATAATATAATTGAGAAAAAAAATTAAAAATCAAATTGAARAAAAATAAAATAGAGACTAAATTGAAAAAAAATAACAATCACAAGATTGAAACATATATTTAGGCAATATATATTGTGTAACGTACTTTGGAAATGGTGCATTAACATGTGCTTGGGGCCTGGTACCACCCTACTATAAGGTCTCAAGCTTGCACTTTATATTGGTTAAAACAAAATCCACCAATTGTGTAGATATCATACCACATCAAAAATAAAAAATATATATATAGATGTTCCGACAGATAATTGTCGGTGGTTTCTTTTTGATGTCG